AAGAGAGCACGTACGATCTTCCTATTACCATTTTTTATTCTATTTTGTTTTACTTTTTAACCCTATTTTATTATTTGTTCTTACACTTGCTCGTTTCCGTAACTCTATCTCTTTGTTTTGCACCGCATGGTTTTCGTTTGCATTTTCGTTCATTATAGATTGTCAGCCTCCACCAAGTCTCTGTTCAACCTCTTCAAGCCACCGACGCTGAACAACGTGAAACACGGGTAAATAAAGACACCTTTTCGCATTTCTCGATTTTTATCCAATGTACAATGTAGAGTGCTTAACCCTCGGCGAGCTTTGATTGGGTCATTTCGCAAGTACGCGAACGAGGTGCAAGGAATTTTTGGTGAGAACGAATTTTCAGTGAGTTAGACTGATCAGAGTCAGAGATACCCCGAGGTTTCGAAGATTTTGTAAATTCTGTTATTATTCATTATAGTTTTGATGTAATTATATAGAGCTTAGTATTTTTGTATGTAACATATGCTTCCTGACAGTTTTATAGCTTTAATTCTTTGATTTTGTAGCTTGCACGATGTTTAAAATTATTAGGTTGTTTGGAAACTAATTTCGTTTCTTCCCAACACAGGGACTCTCAGTCGCCATATAATCAGATTCTAAAGATGGATATTAATTAACCGTTTGTACTCGACGATTTTTTGGCTAGAGGAGAGTAGAAATTCAAAAATTTTCTATTAAAAAACTGACGATTCCTTTTTTAGCAGTAGATAAAGAATTGTGTAATAATAGAATTATAAAGTTATTTGATTTCGATACCTCGCACTCCGTTACATTACATTAAATTTGATACATTAATTAATATCGATCTTCCAAATTTTATGAAATGGTGAATGAAGTGCAAAGGGTTAATATATCAAATTTACAATTACCCAACAATGCGTGGGATATTGAAGCAAAATAATTCTACGTCTTAATGTGCATACGATTTCTTATTCACCGTTTTAAAATTATCGAAAGTCTTTGAATATACTATTTTCCTGTAACAAAAATATCGTCGAGTGCAAAGGGTTAATTGTATTTCTTCACAACCAACTTCTCACTTAAACTGCATTGTCATTATATATAATACCTTGACAGCTAATATAATAAGACTCGTTTCTGACAAAATTTCTTTGATTTTGCCAGAAAGATGGCAAAAGATATTGGACCAAAATGACGAATATTTAATTCCATAAAATATTTATACACTACAAAAAAATCCTCTTTCATTTTCACCGAAAAGAACGAAATTACTTTCCGAACAACCCGATATAATAATTGTCTTGCAATGATGTAATTATTACAAATTGTATATTTAGTAATATCGTAAACTCTAGTTATTATAGTTTTATCAATTTTATGATCTTCGTAGTTTCTGTATCATTTCTTGATTTTGCAACGAAGGCACGATAATTGTGATGAATTTAATATATTTTCGAAATGAAAGTAATTACAATTATGTATTTTTCTATAAAGAAATGAAATTCGACTTATGTATATATACAAAGTGTCTCGTAATATATAATACCTATTTTAAAAATTAATCTAACAAATTTTTAAAATAAAAAAGAATTCATACGAACATGATTCAATTTGACATTTCTTTTTTAAATATAATAAACGTCTTACTATTTGCTATCTGATTACTCTTATAGGAAATACTGAAAATGATCATTTCAAATTTTAAGACATGTCTATAGATCAGTACTATATTTTGTACTATCCAATATTACATATGAGCCGTTCACTGCACAAATCGATTAACTCCACTTTTTGAAAAATCTTAAATTTAAGTGTCAAAGCACTTGGTATAGTCATAACTTTTTATATTTATAATAACTTTCCCTGATAATTAAGATTAACACCATTAAACGACAAAAATTTTTTGGCCACTGAATAATAAATAATTTATTTCAGAGGTCACTTTGATTAACTCCGTACTCTAATGTAAATCGTTGCAATAATGCAACTCAAATGCACTAGCAAGCCATGAATGATAACGGTGAATTTTTTAGTGCCGTCTTATCAGAATTTAAGTAAAATTTAGTCAAATTTAAATTTATTACTTTTTTCACTTGCCAAATCGATTAACTCTTCCAGTAACATAAAAATGGTTACATTACCAACGATTACCTTTCGGCTATTTTTTCTTATAAATTTTATATACAATTAGACGAAAGTTACATTTGTATTTATGCTTTCTACGATATTTATTTCGATTTAAATTATAAAGGGAATTTTAAAAAACAGTATACATTATTTCATTGCATTTCTCCACTTTTCGTTTTATGGAGTTAATCAGTTTGTGCAGTGAATGGCTCATATACCACATAATATATTATCGGAAACTAAATTTTATCCTTTATATTCCTATAATTGATGAATTTCAATCATATATACGATGTTTAAGAAAACCTGAAGACTTTAAAGGTACATAACCATTGAACGCAAACAAAGAAATTAATTCAGACATAAGTAAGTATATAAGTCCAAAGTTGTCAATACAAAATTATTACTAGTACTGATGAAAACTGACTTGAAACCTTTTTGATAATAATAAACGATAAATCTACCTTATCATAGATGATCATTGTGACTTTCTATTCATTGTCATAAATCTACCATTATTTACGTGTGACGAATAACTTATGCAATTTCGGTATTAAATACTGAGACACTATGTATATATAACCGCAAATGAAAAGGAAATATTGGGTAAAATGAGTTAACATGTTAAGTGTTAATTATCCTGCTTTTACTCTGCATTTTATTCCAATGGAATTATTACAAGTAGTATTAAATTGCAATAGATTTTTAACCCTTTCGATACGACGTTGCCATAAAGTCTCTCTCGTAGAACGAAGCGCCATGTCAAAGGTGAAAGCATTACGTGTACGCAGTTTTTAGCATTCGAGGCCAAGTCTTTTGAAGAAAAAAAAAAAGAAATAGAAAAAGCAAAATCGACTATCGCAATAGCGCTTGCAATTCTTTGCGAAGAGAGCTTAGCAGAAGGATAATACTTGTCTTAATTTTTGGCTCAATTTTTGTGACTATAGTCACTCGTCGTGTGTAGGTGGCGTCTCGTAGCCGATGACTGTAGTTACCCGTAGTAGCGAAAGGGTTAAAATACATTGACGCGTTAAGTGCCATGTTGGTCCCTGGGGACCGGCTCTAGGCTTTCAGGCCCAGACTAGGACCAAAAGGTGCTAACTTTTGATGTTAAATTCTTCGCCATCTTTGGACCTAACGTTTGGGAATTCCTGTTATAACAATTGGTACAGTATCTCCGAGTTTTACGAACACTTCGCCCGCCGCCGTGGGTCCACTTGACGGCCGAATCTGGGCCTGAGTGGAACGGCAAGCAAAACGCGCTCGGCACTTAACGTGTTAAATACTGGTGAAACAATTATCGTGGCTGGTCACAATGGTAGTCCAGAAACCGTGCGGGAAGCACATCCATCCGTGTCAGAAATGACCCAGTCATCGCCGTCGGCGGTCCGCCATCTAGGGGTTAAGCGAACAAACACACGTGCACCGACTGCAGCGGCAATGGCCACGTGCGCGTTGCACGTGTATAACCGGCTTTATGATGCACCTTTTTAAACCTCTTTCAGGTGAGTGGTGAGAGGCACGGACGGTTTTTCGTTCGTGTGTTGCTCCCGCGATTTTTTCGTGTAATCGCTAAGAATTACGCGTTGTTAACTTTTTAACCGGTTTATCGTGGGATTTGTAGAGATATGAAAGGACATGTACTTACTCGCTTAATCGTTATATATAGCGATTACTGTCCAGATATACGCGATATACGTATTTCGTATTTATGAAAACATCAGGATGGTTTTAAGATTGCTAATTTTTGTTTTGTTTTTTTGAATAGGGGATTTTATGGAAGAATCATTATAGGAAATATTATAGTGAATAATACGAATGAACAGAGAATAAGGATATATAATACATGGCTTTGTGTAATTTTCGTGAAATATTTGTGGGAGAATTATTATAGTGAATGCTATTATACGAAATATGCATGAAGAATGCAAATATGTTCAGTAACTACTATCTATCTAGACATTGTAGATACCAATTAAATTTTTTCAAATTTTTTTTTTTAAAAAGGGAATAACAAATCATTTGGAATTCTTGATAAATTTAGGCTAATAATCCCACTGTGATCAACTGGAATTACATTTGAGATCTGAAAATTTCTCTGGAAATATTTATAAAATAGAAATTAATGCTTTGAACATTTACAATACGAATGAACAGAGAATAAGAATATATTTGGTTTTATGTAATTTTCGTGAAATATTTGTGGAATTATTATTATAGTAAATGTTATTATACGAAATATACATGAAGAACGCAGATATGTTCAATAACTACTATCTATCTAGACGTTGTAGATACTAATTATTGAATTTTTCAAACATTTTTTTTTAGAAAGGGAATAACAAATTATTTGAAATTCTTGATAAACAGGCTAATAATCTCACTGTGATCAACTGGAATTACATTTGAGATATAAAAATAAAAATAGAACAGGCAATTCCTCTTGAAATATTTATAAAATAGAAATTAATACTTTGAACATTTGTTTAGTAATTGATTCAATTCGTCGAAATATACATTACGTTTATGTATATATACAAAAATATACAGTTGCATTGATGGAAAAATTAGCCAATTTGAAACCTTCTAAATGTTTTCATGTATCATATATCAAAGTACAAGGTGAAACGAAAAGTTAACACTCTTAAATACTTCGCGTAATTTTTTTTTATTAGCATGTCTGTTATAATGTTATTAATATATTCGTGTTAATATTATTAATATCACAATAGAAATTATTAATTAATATTACTTACAGACGTCATATATAAACATTTATGAATAATTTTGTTTATAACTTAGTATCTCCAGAAATATTAATACCAATAATCACCAATATTATTATTTCCAAATATTTATATGATATTGAGATTGATATTTCAGAAAATTGTGCTAACAATAGTCATTAATCGTTATTATTCTCAAATATTATTTCTATAATTCACTATCCCTAAGAATATTGCTGGCAATTATCATCGATATAGTAATTAATATTAATATCACATATAACCTAATATCTGCAAAAATATTAGTAACAAGAGTCGTCAATATCAGTATTATTTCCAAATATTAAAAATATAGTATCACTATACATAACATACTATACAATAAT